GCTGGTCTCCTCCCTCTGGTGACCAGTGACAGAACCCGAGGGAACGGCAGGAAGCTGCGATGGGGGAGGTTTAGGTTGGATATCAGGAAAAGGTTCTTCACTGAGAGGGTGGTTGGGCACTGGAACAGGCTCCCCAGGGAAGTGGTCACAGCACCGAGCTTGACTGAGTTCAAGAAGCGTCTGGACAACGCTCTCAGTCATATGCTCTGATTCGGCTGGTCCTGTGTAGGGCCAGCGGTTGGACTCGATGATCCTTATAGGTCCCTTCCAACTCAGGATATCCTATGATTCTATGGATCTATATTTTTCAAAAGAATTATGCAGGAAAATCTAATAAGGATTAGCATGGAGTGTGGCAAAACTTTGAGATATGATGTAATGATGGAATGAAAAAGCTAAGTATTTAAAGAAAACTTGAGAGTTGAAATTCTGCAGTAAGCTTTCTGTGCAACATTCTGAATATTCATTCCTTTTGGCAGTTATTGTCATTGTGCAAGCTGAAAAAATACAAATAGTCTCAGGAAGTATCTAGGAAGTGTTCAAATAAGTCTTGGCAAGTCAGTAATATATTTCATGATGCACAGATCAGTGTGTAGCTACTCTGTAGCTTCTTTATGCATACATTATAGGAAAAAATACATGATGCAATGTAAACATACAATTATACTCGTAGAAGTGAAGTTGTTTTTACTTTCTACATTAAACCAATCTTAAAATGAGAGAATCAAGGCACTGAGACAGTCCATTATGTAATATTGTTAAAAAACCATACACTTCAAAAGGCAGCCTGGTTTGTTGACATTTAAAAGGTTTCATATTCTTGCTTGAAAGGTCAATAGAGAAAGTTAAGATTTGAGTGACTACAGACAGCACTTTTGACAATAACTTTTAGTCAAAAGCATGTGTGTGAAATGACATCTTTTGTGTTACAAAGGCACAGGAAAAGCTAAATATTTAGCTCCAAACATCCTGCAAATATCGTTTTGCTTCTCGAAGCATGGCCAGGATTTTCATTGCTTCCAATTTGTCAACTTCCATTTCCATGCTTAAAATGTCCACTATAGCATCACTTACACCATCAGCCATATGCTTCTTATCTCTGGAAAAAAAAAAAAAAAAAAAGAAAAGAAAGAGGAGGAAAATGCATAAGAGTGTATTTTTCCTTTTAGCAATAGCTTCAGAGGTAGGATAATATTGGAGAAGAGGCATTAAAAAAACCTCTCAAACAAAAACATAGCTTGTATATTGTATGGCAGGATTCTCACTGAGATTTCATGCAGCTGAGCATTGACAGTAACAAGGGTTTCTCTCAATCAAACACTAAAAAGTTTTCAGCATGCTGTCATTTATAAGAAAAAAACCCTTGGAATCCTTGCGCTCTCACAGAATAATTGTTTTCTTTTAGGAAGAACTGGACCTGCTGAAGTAATTTTTATCATTATATCACCATATGTTTCCAATTTAAAAAAAAAAACAAAAAAACCCAAAACCAAACCAACCCCTCAATAATGCTATTTTTAATACAAATAGCTGACATTTATTGACATTGGACTCTATATTTGGTCTGTCCATTTACCAACAAAATTCCTAAAAATCTCAAACCTCAAGGTAAGTTACACAGCCACAAAGAAAACTTCCCACCGTAAAATATATTACTATTACAGAGCTTTAGCATTCTGGCCCACTCAAGCCTGGAACACAGCAGAAGACTGCTGCTATCTCGCAGCTGTGCAGTTTATCATCACATGTATTTAAATGTGTCGTTTTCTCAAGAAAGAAATCTATTAGCTTGAAACCTCCTATAGCTTAATTCAATACTAAAAAGGAAAAAGAAATAATAAGTGACTAAAGCAACCAGTGGAACGGTGTGGTTACAAGCTATACTTTCAAGACTATATTGGAAAAAACTGACATAGTGATGAAATTCTAGCATTCCAGGAAAGCTCTTTCACGACCATGTTGGTCCTCTTTCAGACAGCTCTAAGCCTTTCTAAAGCCTCAAACTTCTGCTAACTCTGTTCTTTCTAAGACAGTCCATCTCCATTCTACTCACCCACATACATAGAAGTAACCTCTCTCTTTCAGCAGGACTCTGGCAACTTCCTTAGCATAAAGCCTAATGACATCTTGCACATATTTAGGCGGGGCTACTTCTGCAGTTGAAGAGTCTCTTGAGAAACAAACCTTAAGATAAGTTAACGTGCCATTTTCAAGAAAACATTTGAGCTCATCTCTGAAAGGCAATAAAAACTGTTTAGTAATGGCTCAGAGGATAAACATTCCCTCATTAATACAAAATGAATGTTAAATAGTGAACTTGCTTGAACAAATAGTCTCGATCCTGATGCCGACAACCAAAAAACAGCCATGTCTCTCCAAATTCCCAGTCTGTATGTTCTTCTCTGAGCTTCTGCCTAAACAGACAAAAAAAAAAAAATAAAAAAAAAAAATTCCAATCCTGTTTTATCAAGTGCAAAATCTAAAATGTCTATAACCTAATTCTCATTTGAAGCAGTGCTTTAATAAACCTCTGGATTGGCAGAAATGTGAAATGACTTAAGGTAAATCACAGTCAAACCCTCCTCCTTTGATTTTCTTGACTAGTCACTTTTGGCCCAGCTCAATATCAATCAACTTCAAAGGGGTTTTTTTTTGCCACAGTTTCATATTGGAATAGTCAAGACTGACATTTCCAAACATCTCACAAAACAATCCTGACTGCTAAACAAGGAGATCACTACCCTTTATCCTTCATTGGAAGCCTTCATTGTAAAAACACCCGGGACAACTCAGCACAAAGCAGTTTTAGCATGCTGTAGAAACTTGCTAGACTTTATGAATAACAATCCATTTACTACCACATCATCAGAAGAGTTATTACATTTTCTTGAAATAATGCTGACGGTATTACTTTAGAGGGGTTTTAGCTGCAACTTTCAGTTACATTTTGAGACAGAGATTTCATTTATCACTGATCAAATGCTTATGAAATGCTATGAATCCTTTAAAATAAAATGCAAAATACGTCTGAGAGATAAAGCTATATTTGGGAGTTAAAAGTAAGGAGTAAGGATTGTACAGAATGATTTGGTTCAAGCAGAAGCATGGAGACAGAAACATCATGTCAAAATTTCACTTTTCTCTCAAATAAAATGGTTTAAAAATAATTGTTACAGGATGCAAAAAACTTCATTATCTTGCTGGAACTGATGAGTCACGTAGGAATGATATGTGTTGGTTACCTATAAAAATTGCAACCACTCCCACCCAAATATTCCACTCTTCCCATTCTTCATTTCCTCCAAATGATCATGTTTTTATATATTCTTGGTGATGTGGTATCTGTCACATTTTGAACAAGCATCTCTTTGCCTTGAAAAATTACCCTGCTGGAGTTGGGGGGGAAAAAAAAAAAAGAAAAAAAAAGTAAAAAAAAAAAAAGTATCTGCCTCCCCTCAAATACAAACCCATGAAATCTAAGACTACTGCCCAGGTGAGGGTTCCAAGCTCCTCATCTTAAAACATCAAAATGTGTAAACACACAGAAGTAAGTGAATGTGGGAGAAAACTTGATAATCATCATGCCAAGGTTTTTAATATAGATGCCACTTCTGAAGGAAAAGGATTTTGAATACCAAACTTAAGCCAATCAACACTGTTTCTAAAAACTACCAACCTCGTACAGGACTTCCACTAGCAACACACAGATAAAAGGATTTAATTTCTGACTACCATTTCTGCAATTCACCCAATTCCTCATGTATCCACTCTGGATATTAAATACAGTCAGATGAAAGTGCAAGTTGTACTCAGTTGAAAAACAAATAAATACACAAGCACTGCTCATTTAAAATCAGTAAGACTCTTTCTAATCAGCATACCACAATTACAAAAAGTAAAAAGAAGAATAAAAAATAAAATAAAAAGATTAACTGCATTTTTACTCAAAACCTGAGGCTGTATTTTCTTCAACATAAAAAGGCTGCTTTCCAGGGAACAACTTGGTACATACCTATGTTGTAGGAAACCAATAAATGGTGAAATTCCTGTTCCTGGACCAACCATCATGAACGGGACAGATGGGTCTGCAGGTAAGTGGAAAGTATTGTTTGGACGAGCAAAAATAGATATCTAAAATGAAATTAGATAGAATACAATTGAAGAATATTTTTAAGCATTGAAAATACAATGAAATTTTTAGCAACTTCAGGGATATTTAAATAACGTATGTGTCCACACACCCTTCCAAATCCTGAGCTTCAGAGTTTATTTTTAATACCACACACATTTAGAATAAAATTTCAAATGAGTTTCTGAAAAAAACCCAAACCAAACAACATTGTATTTACAAACCTATTAATCCATCTGGAGAAAAATTAGGGAAAACCATACAAATGTGAGTTTCTGAATATGAAAGCTGACTGCACCACAAATTTGGGGAATACTGTTACAGAATTCATAGAAAGTTTGGTGGTGGTACTTGAAAGGACGTAAAGTTAGTTCATTGCTATTATAGGCAACTCAACTTTTTTTTTTTTTAACATTGTGGACATCTAAGAATATTCCTGTGGAGGTGAGGATTTGTTTATAATGAATTGAAGACTACTGATACTGAGCTTGCTTTCTTAATTTTCATAAAAGTTTTACATGATCTCCAAAAACACGTATAGGTGAGGGGAGGCAGATAACTGCTCAAAGATCTTGGAAAGTGGCTTATATCATTCCACCGATAAACTCTAATTCTGATCTTCAGATCTGTGTCTGAAAGAAAGTCTAAATATAATTCTCATAGGAGCTCCACAACTGTTCTCTGAGGCATGGCTAACATAATGTATAGAAAGCAAGAGATGACTATTTTCAGTTCTTTAAAAGATTACTCAAGACTCAGCAGCAGCCATAGCAGAGCTTCATCCATTACAGTCATAAGCAAACATCCTATGTATTTTGCATATTAATTATGAAAGGATTTGAATTTACTTTCAAGTTTAAGGAAGGAGTGAAGCACTAGACCAAGTTATTTAAACTTTGTTCTGTAAATCCGAGTGGTTTAGCATGACTCATTTCTTATCATTTAATTCACTACAGAGACTACGACGTTAACACAGGATTATTTTTCTGTTTTCATGATGATAAAAAAAATAGTATAATTCTTGCTGTTGGGGGGCAATATTTGTATTTCTACTATACTTACTACTTCAAACCACATTTGAGTTAGGAGGCTATTTTCCCTATTAACGATTCCAAACTGGTCATTCCATTAAAAAATACTGCAGATGGTAAACACATTTATACTGTAAAGTGTCTTCAATTAGTCTAAGGTATTTTTGCATAAGATCACACTCATCTATTTTCTATTGGTATTCCACATATTTCTGCAATCTACATGTATTGCTGCACATTTATCTATGCTGAATTCTAGCTTGCACAGCAGATGCAAATAGTTCTGAACTTTATTCAGACTCATTTTGTAATAATCCTTTTTTTTAACTCCACCTCCTTTTCATGTTTGATTTTTAATATACTGCAAACCAACTATACTCGAAATAAAGAGCAGATGTGAATACTGGAATAAGATATATGGTGCACATATTAATCAGTTTGCCTTTGAATGTTAAAAACTGAAGATAACTTGTTATGGGTTTTCCTTCCATTTTGCCAGATAAACACCTTGAATTATTGGCACAGTTTTCTTGTAATCAAATTCAATGCTTGCTTCCATTTTTCTTAATCAAATAGAGATTAGACTGGCAGTAGTTCTTTTATCATATTAATTATACAGTAGAATTCCAAATTTTTAATAATTGGCTTACACCTAATAACTTTGAGACCGATTAATTACATACATTCTCTGCCGTGAAGGAAAAGAGGCCAAAAAAAAAAGTACCTTCTAGTAATACCCACCATGCAAAACATTTTTGATGCACATCAGAAATACCACAGACAACTGTCCCCTGTGTCATCTTCAATAACTTGGCCTGTGTAAACTGCGAGACCCGACAAGAATTGAGTTTTACTATTTCACCCCTATTATCTGCGACCCGTGACCAAGTGCCTCTCTTCTACAAGTGTGGAAGTGACCAAGTGCCTCTCTTCTACAACACTAACAGTTATAACTATTTAATTGCACAGTGGTATTTTAGTCCATGAAAACATCCTCCAAGACTTGCTTAGAACTACAGTGAGGACAGAAAACAACTCTGGCCTTTCAGCAGTGGGAAGTTTCACAACTCACATATCCATAGATAAAGTAAAATTTCAGTTTAGCAACTTAGCAATGAAGTTCTAGACATGTTACAGAGGGAAGGGCAAACTTATACATAAGGTAGAACTGCAAAATGAAGGTGTATACTGCCAAAACACCCGCATTACATCAGAGCACTGAACAAAGAAACACGCATAAATTTAATGGTTAAGGAGTTTAGATCTAATACTCATACCTTTTCAGTTGAAGAGCATCCTCCTTTTGTATCCAGAGTATTTTTATTGGGGTGCAGTAGAGGTGCAACTAACTCAGCAAGCCATCCTGTACATACTCCTTTCCGTGAGACTGGTCTAGCGGGACAGGCAGGGAACTCCACAATGTTAAATACAAACCACAATTTTCCTGGCTGATATAAGTTTGAACTGCAAAGACAAAAGTATAAAACAAACTCCAAAACCTGAGAGCTGTACAGTCTTACAGCAGGTCCATTTGCAGCCCAAACCACCTCAATTTAATCAAGATTCTCAGTGTTCAGCCAGCTAACTGTGTGGTATTTATATATAGTCAGAAAACATCTTAAGGTTGGACTCGGAGACCAGTGCCTCCAGAAGGGAATCGACATTCCTACCAGATTCACAGGTGTGTGAGCTTGTTCTTGAGAATTCTACCAAAGTCCTGCCAGACACTCAACACAATGGTGTCTGAAACAGTCAGACCCTGTGGTTTTTTGCAAGAGGGACACAATCACCTTTTCCTCAGGTTTTATTCTTCATTCCTCTCCTTCTTCTTCAGATTATAATGTACACACACACATACATTTGAGAAAAAAGCATATCTAAATTACCAAGGAGATATAATTTTACTATTACATTACCTTGATGCTGAATAGGATCTGGCTTGTAATTTAGGAAGATGTTCTGAAAAATTAAAAAAAGAAAACATCACTTATTATTTGATTCACCCCAATGAAAATATCATATAATGATGTGTTTACACTAAAACAGATTACAAGCTACATATGTATGTATGTATACAGAAAAGGTCAAACTCACTGGTGCCTTCAAAGGAATGAATTGCGTGCAGACTGCACATTTGGCTGAGGAGAAAGGCATATTAAAAGGAGACAGACTTATTGCTAAGTGAACAATATGGTGGGGAATGGTGACAATAAACGAGCAATACCAAAAAAAACGGGCATAGCAAATGCCAGAAAACATACAGTGGAGTAACAGGGTAACATACAGTTTTACTGCTTTTTAGTTGTTTTACCACATGCACCACTCTTTTGCAGATGTTCCAACAACTACATGGACACCCTGACATATTTTGAAGATGCTCTGCTACATAAGATAGTTGCAAGTCAGAGTTACAAAAAGCTAGTTTAGTGAAATTACTTAAAGATGACACTAAGTCCATTCAGCACATTACTTCCCTGGGGGAACACATTTAAAAGACTTTCAAAACTTCCTTTTATTCAATTCAGTTGCTCAAGCATGTTCCATACCACCTTTGGAAAGATAAGTGGCTTTGTTTTCACTGTGAAAACTCATGTATTTGTATAAAGTGGAGCAGAGCTTGTATTTATTTTTTTAAATCCCCACACTGGAGAGATTTGGGGTAGGCATGGAGAAGATGCTTGCAAAAACTTTTTTTTTTTTTTTTTTTTGTGAAACATATTAAGAAATTCTGGGTTTTAATCTGGAAAATAACTACCAGTATTTTCAGATGTATTTTAGATGGTTATAGTTGGAGTCTCATTCCTTCAGCTTTTTATGTAAGTAACACAGTGAGTGTGATGGACATTACATAAATACAAATAGACTGGGAAAAGCTTTCAATTTTGACAGGTAAAATTGCAAGAAAAGAACATATAGGCAGGGAAATCAGGAGTTGTAAAAACATGTCTTTTCTAATGGTAAGCAGTTGATTAACTGTTTCTTAAAGACCCCTAATCCTGCAAACAATTTATGCTTATTTCTTGATGCACAGGAGCAATCCAGAGCCAACTGAAGCGTAAGTATGTACCTAAGTGTTTGCAGAATGAAGGCCAAAGACTACAAGCTGGAGAACAGAGCTTTGTTCCCCAACAATAGTTTTAGGTTGATAACTATGGATACTACATTTCTAAAGCAGTTAACTGAACAGTTATTCCCCTTTCTTGGGAAACTGAACATTTAGTCTGATGCATTTTCAGAAACCAAATCTAATTAAATCCAAATCAGTCACTTACCAATTAACAGGTTAAGTGAAGGCTTGCAGCTTGGAAAAGCATGAAGTAAATCCAGCAAGCAAACATTAGAATCTCTAATAAAGCATGTGTAATCAGAGGCTCCTTGTCTGCTGCAAAGCTCTTGAAGTCTCCGTTTTTCTACTGCATCACTGGTACATTCTACAAGAGCTCGCAAAAATGCCTGCAGGGAACAAAATAAGAGTGAAGGGTAAAAAGACTTGTCCATTTGGGAAAATGGTCAGAAATTTGGGAAAAACTTGGGATGCTTGAAGGTAGGAAGAAGTCACCTGATAGGTTAATGGATAATACAATTATTTCCCAATGCACACTTTCACCAGCTATGAAAAAATTACTTTTCTTTTTTTTTTTTTTTTTTTTTTTTTTTTTTTAAAAATTATTTTTGTTTTTTTTTTTTTTTTTTTTTTTTTGTGGCTGCTCCTCTAATATCTGGGACAAGCTAGCAGGTCAGAAAATCCTACTTAGCCTGAATGGGGGAGAGACAAATAAAAAGGAGCAACCCATTCCCTGAAAAATCCAGAATTTATGAAAAGCTTCCTTATTTATGTATTTGCACTTTAGTTAAGTAAACAGATCCATAACACAAATTAATTCAAGACAAAACACCATTTGCTAAGTTACAGAAGCTGGGAAAGGAATAATAAAAAGTCTTAGAAGAGGTATTTACTGTAAATAAAGTATGGTATTTAATGAGTCATGTAAATGTCGCAGTGGTGTTTTATTCCATACTTTATGCCTACATAATGGTACTGCAAGCTTTTCTTATGGGAAAATTAAATTGAGCATTCTAAGATAAAGTAAAAATCAGATGTAAACAGTTACAAGGTTTTTTCCCAAAAGCAAGGTGGAAATAGTGCATAAAAGAAAAGTGATCCGAAACACCAAGTGCAATCGGATGACATATTCTAAACAAAATAATACTTGGAAAGTAATTTGAGTGTGCTCAAACACTGAGTTTCTGACAATAGTTCTGAGTATGGAGTTACATAAAGCACATTCTACACTGAAGAGATAATAAAGCAGATAGGTTATAAAACCTGCCTTGTGCGGTATTCCCTAGCCAGCGCACTCTGCCTACTCTTATTGTTGAGACAAATTCTCAAAATTGTTAAATGCAGTTTTGAAAAGATTGAAACAATTGGAAGACTCTCTTCCCTTCTGCTGAGTGAAAATGTCCTTCCAAAACCTGGTTTCTCTCAGAGGCCCAATCAACAGAACTGTTTAGCTTCATCCTGCATGCAAAGTTATCTTTAAAATGTGTTTTGACAATACCAGAAATACACGTGCGTTTCCAGTTGCAAGCTTCCATTTTTTTGCAGGCACAGAATGAAAGGAAAATAATATTCACATGTTGTGAGAACAAATACTACACAGGCAAAAATCTTTCTTTGAATTCTGCCAGGTTACTGAAACGCTAAAGAAAAGCTTTAAAATACTTTAAAAGACATTATGGTATGTTTGCATTGAGCAACATGCGTATTTTCAGTCACAACATTTAACAGTAATGGCTCCCACTGATTAGAAAGAATGATTTCTCTAAAATGCCTATGGGGCCAGGTTCAGTCAGCCTTCCAGTTATCTGGCACCAAATATCTAGTATTTTTCTATTTACTCACAGACTAGCTATGAATCAAGGCACTACAGAATGGGAATAGAGATTTCAGTATCTCATAGTTTGCCGGATTAAGAACCAGAAGTGAAATTTCTCAGAATAAAGTACAAATAGCAGCATACAAACTGACAATCCTTATTCACCAAGACACATGGTAACTACACACAAAGCAAGGATAGGTCTGTAAGAGCCCATACAGCATAGAATTACTAAGGATTTCTCTTTAAAAGAACAAACACATAAACACCTTTTTGGGAATTGCTCTTATTTCCAGACACCAGGTTAGAATGAATTTCAGAGTGCTTCTTTCAGGGATGTGTTGTGGATGAGCTGCTCCTAGTTCAGTGGGAGAAAAAAAACAAAACAAAATGTGCATCTATTAACATCCAAAAATGGCATCACAGAGTGCTTGTTCCTTCAAGAAATACGAGAGAGCTAAACTGCATCCAATTCTGTGTGTTTGAACCCCAGTGGAAATTATAAACTAAACAGCAAGACAGTTTTCCAAGGAAGTGTCAATGACTATTTTGCAATGACAAGTTAAAACTTATTAAGAAATCAGGAAACTAAAAAAGAGGTATAATACATGAGTGTTCAAATAAATTTCATTGCTAAACCAATTCGAGGCTTTGTTGCCACTTTCCACCTTAAAGAAATTCAGAGGAAAGTTTACCAGGAAAAGGAACATCCGCATTTTTTCCCCTCCATCAATACGCACTCCTGAAAATAGGAACACACTGCAGTTTTCTAATAATCTAACCAAAGGTGTATGCAGCCAGCGCCAAGCTGGAGCTTCTGAGGCCCAGCAGATCCAAGGGGTTTCTGTACAAGCAAATAATCTCTCTTGTACTCTCTACAGGTTCCATTTCTGGGAAGGAGGTACACTGACATCCCATCTATCCCTTCATGGAGTCAGCTAGGGTGCAGCCAGGCTTATCAGCCTCATGCTAAAGCAGCTATTCTAAGTTAACCCCAAAAGCAATATAAGAGCATTTATGTGACAAAACACCCTTAATTTATAAGCTCTGCAGGTCCCAAATTGCTTCCTTACAGACCTAACTTGCATGTTGAGATTTCTCTTCACAAAATTTCTTGGCTTTGACATCTAGCTACTGATTCTTACTATGCTTTTTTCCACGCTCAAGAGCCCTTTAATAGTACAGGATTTTTGCTCCAAGAATATACCTATACAACTTGCTAAATTAACTCTTCATATCAGCATTGCTTGACGCAATCCTTGCTACAAAGAACAAAATTTACTTTTAGAAGATAAGAGGATTGGCATAAATATAACGCAGGAAAGAAGCATCCATTTTCACATTTATATAAACTTCCTTTTCTTGAACATGCTGACAGCATGTTACAAGCAGTACTTAAACCTCTTCCTAGGATGCTCGTACATACAATATAAAACAATTACAAAAATCCAGTATTCGAACAACAGACTTTGTACTAGACTGCAAATAATTTCTGTTTTGTCCTCTCCATTGATCTCATCTACTTCATCAAAGAATTCATAGACTGAACAAAAAGAGGTTGTGAACAAAATTCAGTGGAATTCCTAGTAAATCTTGAAGATGCAGCAAAGGCACAGCCTGCTGTTCATGCTCTTCTCTCAGGTTTTTCAGCTCTCTTCATTCACTAAATCCACAATCATAACAGTTTGTAGTAACTATTACAAATTCCTCTGAAATGTGAATGCAGTTGAGAGAGAACCGTCCCAAAAGGAAAGCAATTCTGGAACATTGCTAGGAATTGCAAAGCTGCATTATAGAGCTGAATTCTTTGGTACAGATTGGCAAAAACAAGTTATTAAGTTACAGTAAGTTAATGAGTCTCTGCTCACCAGCACAGCTCCAAAGAAATTAATTTGGATTTAATCCTAAACCACTTAACTTCCTAACTGCAGTGGATGGAAGTCAGTGTACAAGCCATGATTGGAGTTCAGTGGATCAGCAGCAACTTGCTAGGTCCTGGCCATGTAACCAAGGCAAATGTAAAAAGTCAGCGTGATTTGCTCTGGATCACTCACAAGACTCAAGAGCAGACCCGAGAACTTTAATTCTCTGTGCTATGATCTACCTTTCCATTATCATTCATTACGATTCACAAACAGGCACGCCATTTTACATACAAGATATGGCAAAATGTTGCATAAATAATGCATAATTTCAACTTTTTTCCCCCCATTAGTGCTACATTAGGCAGCCAGAAATGCAATAACCTGTATTATTTACACATCGGATGAGAGCACTGATACTCTGAGTTTCACTCAATTACTTTACCAACTTTGCCTTGGAAGGACAGGTTTTTTGGTATACAAGAACAATCAAGGGGCTAAGTTATGTTCACTTGGCTACACAGGCTCTGTTCTACACGGAAAGTGCTCTGACACTGATGAACTCAAAGTGCTCTGTTAGGACAGCTTTACATCCTTCCTGCAACATCAGTACAGGAGAAGAAAGGGAACTACTGTAGGTAGGAAGGAGACAATATCTCTCTGTACCTATTCAAACAGACCTTCACTTTGAACATGCTGTTGACACTGTCTTTAACTTAGAGAGATTCAAATTTTATGCAGTCAGGTAGCAGGGCTCCGATTTACACAGAAAAACCTACTAGCCTTCAGGAGGAACAAAATTTGAAGCCCAGCTTCCTATGAAAGTCTGATGCTTTTGGCCCTCCATTACTTCCCCCTCTGCTACACCCTTCCCTTTTAATTGCTTCCTTTATAGATGTGCTTGATTCTGTAAAATCTGTAAATAGCGTAAACAGTAGATGTAGCATATCTGTGAAATCCCCCCATCACCCAATCTCTTGCTGCTTGCCTGTGTACAGCTGTTGGGCCTTGGATGGGGTGACGTTGCCTTGAGTTTGAGGGTGCTCAGCACTAGCCCTGATCCAAAGGGAGATTGCTACAAAGCTGGGACTCTCCTGGGATGTCTTTTTTTTCTTTTTCCTTTTTTTTTTTTTTTGGGGGGGGGGTGTGCTATGGGGGGGCTTGGGGGAAGAAGCAGGTGTGTTTGGACGGGTCTGTCGCAGAGGAACAAGGACAATGGAGGTTCCCCAAGAAAGGGGGTACAAGGGGAGGGGGTACAGCACAGTGGTGCTGGATAACAGGCAGACCACCTCTGCAGATGCAGGGCTCATCCCCAGTGCAGGGACCAGGCTGTAACTGACACTGGTTCTGCACCAAATCTACCAGTGACCCCTCCGAGCAGAGGTTAGTTACTGGAGTGGGGGTCAAGGATGGGGTTCACCTGGGCCTGGACATCACATATAATACATTACAACATGGCCTGTCATGTAAACTCACCTTGCTAACAAGTGAGTTACTCACCAATTCCAAGAACAGAGGTCCATTTATACATCATAATTAAGGGACAACTTGTGTTGCCCTTGATGCAGGGAACCTCACCATGGGAACAACAAAGAACCCTACCCCATCCTGCAGAACTAAAAGCACAACTCAGCAGCACCGTTAAAACGCCAATTGCAAGGCAAGAGAAGAATAATTCTCACAGGTCAAGCTGGCAGTACACGGGCATACCTTGAACCTGCAGATACCCTTTCTGAGGTGTGGGATCATAAGACTTAGCAGAACACATCTACATAGACCTACAAGCCCCTAAAAGGCACCTTGCAGCAGCACTAAGTCTTCTGCTTCAGGAGTGCAGCCCTCTTAGGATGTAAAACAGACTGATGTGAAGTGCTGTGCAAGGAGAGATTTTACTTTCAAGTGGAGGACTGTTAGGTTATGTGATTAAAGACTCATCTCCATAAACATGAAGGAGCACAGAGGAAGAATGAGATCAATGAACACTAATGCCAGGCTCAAGTTCCCAGTCAGGAGCTAACTCATCTATAGTAAAACCAGTAGCAGCATTCTATGCGTCCTCTCTTTTTTAACACATCTCTGTGACTTCCAACATGCCTCCATGAAATGACAGCTGTGTCCCAATACTAAAGATAAAAACATTAAAAACTATGCATACCAACGACTACCAACACAGAAAGGGGTATTTGTTCATGATCAGCGCATCACACTATACCTTTCTTTTTCGTGCCCTGCTTAACCTTTACACAAACGAAGTACTCTCCTTTTTCAGAAAGTCCCAATATGTGAAGAAGTTCTTCCACCTCATTGACATTGTTGGGACATAGGACACAAAAGGCATCTCCAGGTTGGTAGTCAAAGACTGTATCCTGTTTTAAAATATGAGATAATTTCTATTAAATTGTATCATAAGCCAAGGCCAACAGCATCCCCATTCCTAACAACAATCTTCCTACTATCACAGCCACAGGAAGTTCTTTTACTCTCTACTAGCACTTCACTATTTGGAGCACATCAGAAACTAAATATTCATGTTTTGTTTTCTGGTTTAACCTTACTAATTAGAAAAATCTTTCCTTATCTGGTTTAAATATTTGGACACTCTTTAATAAGAACTGCTGAGCAGCCTAAACAGAAGGAAAATAAATATGTATTAAGAGGATGTGTTATATAATCAGCCCAGATCATTAATTACTGGTGTACTCTGTTTTCTGGTTCAAGAAGAGCAGAGAAATGAAGTCCTCATAATTAATGTAACTTTGTATAGAGGTACATTACCACTAAAAGAAAAATTTGCTGGTTAAACTACTTGATGAACTGTGACTGAAATGACCCCAACTGTTTTTATCTTCTGGAGGAAAAAAAATAAAATAGCAAGAGAAGAGCACAGTGAAAATTAAAACGTATCTCAGATCTTAAGACCTAGATTCTACTTAGTTGGCTGAGGTTCTTGTGCATAACTGAAACCCTGAAACTCAAGCTTCTGCCTGTTATAGAAGCATACAGAATTATACTTGCATCATCATGTTTCCCTTACGCATCAGGTGAGGTGACCTGTATACACGGACTGTTGAGAATGTCAGGAAGAGAAAGGAAAAAAATGTTCAAATTTTCAGTGGGTGCTGATGACAGGATACACATATACATATAAACATATGCAAAAATCCATGTCATCTCAGAGACTCAGTAGCTCAAAACTTAATAGACTCCATTTATAACTGAGATTTAAAGATGTCCTGTGGATATTTACACAGATTAGGCTAATAGAGTCCAATAAAAGTTACTGCCAAAATCACAATATCCCAATGGCAATATTCTACAAATTTGGAAAGCTGCTCAAAAGCAATACATTTTCCTTTTAAAGATTTCTTGTAAAGTAATATCGAGCACTCTCTGCCTTTCATCTTCAAACCAGTATACAAAATATGATCTTCCCTGAAATAAACTAAACCAGTTTTTACACCTAGGGTAACATTGAGGAGTATGTTAACAAGTCAGAGCAAATGAATGCCAGAGGCAGAAACAGTGCTTAAGAGCTAACGACTCTTATCACTTGATCATACTAGTCAAATTATCACTTGTGTAGATTACCTACCACAAGGAGTAGTCACAATTTACTATACAGTTTCTGAATATTCCCCAAGTTGTATACTTACAAACTGAAGTATTATTCATTTTCAATATTCCCTGCCTGTCCTTCTCCATTGCAAATTCCATTCAAAAAGGTGTTTCAGTCAATACAATATTCATGGAACAACAGAGAAATTAATTTGATGCTTTATTTCTGTTTTGACTTCCATGGAGTTGTATCTTTCAGTGAACAAATCAAGCTTTGCATTTACAAAATGGATCAGCCTACGCTGACATCCTATTGTATAGGGAATTATTTTTTCTTTTTATACAGTCATATAATTTCCCCCCTCCAGTTATTATACATAGCACATATGCTTTTCATCTTTTATTTTAACCCACTAAAGAAAAAGCCATCACTTACTGCAATATCAAGTTCTAAGAGCAATGTGGTTTTTATCGCATCTTCTCTAGTGAGCTGAACTGCTTTTGTAACTGGCACTTCAAAGGCTTGTCCCTCTGAAATCAGTGAGGACAGATGTGGATTCTGAAAAAGAAGACACGAAAACTTACACCAAAAATGCAAATCAGCTGAATGACAGCTTACTATGACATACAGGAATTAGCGTTGGTACAATTTTTTTGGAACAATCTTAGAAAACAATTCAAAACAATGAGGAAAAACATGAATCTCCTATATACAGAGAGCGTTTTGCTCTACATTTTTAAAAATCACAACCAAGCAGCAACATGCATATGTTCAACTATAAAAAGTCAGTAGGCTTGAACAGTCTAATGGGCCTAAACTACTATGAAATGCAGCTAGCTGTTTTCTTTTTCAAGAGCTGCCTTGAAAATAGCCAATTAGAGAACGGCATTTATGTTAAAACCCAGAAAACTCCCACCTAATTAAAGGATTACTACGTGTACAGAACAGACAGAAGAAGTAAGAACAGAAGCTATTTAAAAACATCATTGCAGATTTACAGATTAAGACTTTGGAGTGCATATGGGGCTATTACAGGCAATTTATAAGAGGAATTTTAAAAACTACAGTTAAATTTAGAGCTAATCAGCAAATTTCACACTAAGAAACAGCATCATGTTATTCCACAACATTTTTACACAGGTAAAAATGTACCCCAAGAATTGTAAATGAGCATCAAGAATAATTCCAGACCACCTCTGTCAAAGGCTGTCACTTGAAGATCACATTGCAGCCCTCATTTCTCCATCACTATTGTCAGCAAGCTCCATCTGAGATGTATCTGAGATCGATACAGACAAAAATGAGGACATTACATAATGTCCATAACAATACTCTGCCAAATGGAAAGGAATTATTCTACCACTAAGAAAATATTGGTTAATGTATTGGGTCTGGCTGAGATGGAGTTAATTCCCCCCATAGCAGCTCTCATAGTGCTGTGCTGTGTATCGGTAGCTAGTAAGGTGCTGGTAACACACCAGTGTTTTGGCTACTACTGAGCAGTGCCGGCACACATCAAGGCTGTCTCTCCAACATTTCTTCCTCCGCCTCAGCAGTTGGCTGGGGGTGGGCAAGATCTTGGGAGGGGAAACAGCCAGGACAGCTGACCCAAACTGACCAAAGGGATATTCCATACCATAGGATGTCATGCTCAGCAATAAGAAGCTGAGAGATAGGGGGAGGAACGGGGCAGGGGTATTCGAGTTTTTTTACAATGTTTGTCTTCTGGAGTAGCCAGTATGTGTACTGAAGCCCTGCTTCCCAGGAAGTGGCTGGACATCGCCTGCTGATGGGAAGTAGAGAATAATCTTCTGCTTTTTTGCTTTGCTTCCCCGGGCGGACTTTTGCTTTTGCTGTATTAAACTGCCTTTATCTTGACACACGACTTTGGGGTTGTTTTTTCCATCTTATTTTTCTCCCCTCCCTGCCTTGCTGAGGAGGGGAGTGATAGAGCAGCTTGGTGGACACCTGGCATCCAGCCGAGGTTAAACCACCACATTTTAAAAAATCTGAAGATTTCCTATTTAAAAAAAGGAGAAAGGAGAATCACTTGAGGCCAGTAGTTGCAAGTTTTATTATTCTCTTAAAATTTTGACATGGTGATTAGTGGCTTGGGCCATATCAAGTTGTTATGCATCAGCTGGACTGTGATAATTGTCTACATTCACATTCCCTCCAAGTTAAGTTCAAGGCATAGCAAGATCAAGATTTAAGCTAAATTGTATTATCTTACACTTGCCACAAAGGCTTAAGATGCAGACTGTTACTGCTCTGCCACTAATAAGCAGCAGCTTGTTAATTCAACCCTGAGACGCAACAGCGCAGGACATAGATCATAAAAGTAACTATAGAGTCTGTGTACCCAGCCTTCTTCAAACAGCATGGAGTCTCTTTCTGGAGATATCCAACCCGAAGTTGATGGATTCAAAGCAAGCCAACTTCAGCTGTGCTTGGCAAAAAAATACCCATGGTTCTTGTAATGTTAGATACCGGAAAAGGACACGAAGTGTGTCATACATGTAAAACCAAACATGACCCTACATGGGACCTACTTTTGACAAGGTCTAGCAAGTATGCCAAAAATAGTGCCAAAGGGAAAAAAAAACCAAACCTGGATTTGATTCTTTCCAAGGCTCAAGACAACCATCCAGCTTTATACCTGAAATCTGGACTAAAATCTTTAATCTGTCACTGAATTCCAGATTAGCAAATTCACCTTTTTCCATTTGCTGTTGTTTTTCCTATTTACAGAAAAGTTAAGCCATCAATATTCAAACCTGATCAATTGTTTCAGAGATCAGCTTGAATATATGCTATGACTTTAGAATAAGAAAATGGGCTCTTTCAACTACTGTAGCACCACTTTCAACCCTAGTATTAGTCTTTAATCAGTGTACCTCTAAATCATTAATCTTTGTTTCAGTAATTTGGATTATTTAATTCAACGACCTGAGCAAAACCAACCACAATATGAGGTTTAAAAGTGTTTAAATTCATACACTCTTACGTTATTATATTAGCTAGACTAAGTGATTGTCTCAGCATTACCATGGCCACTCTTAACAGAGAGAGTGTCAGGGCCCTGATGATACTAATGGGCTTTCACGGTCCTGAGTAGCTTCACCAGAGGCCTCCAACACTACCTCTGCTCATGGGCCCAGGAGCCCCATCTCAGCTCAGCTGAGGTCTTCAGTCCGTGCCTAAGCTACATCAGGAATACTGGTTAGCATCTCAGCCACAACCATGCCCATGGCTGGCCACCAATGCTATTGATCCAGGCCTGGATCTGCAGACTGACTTCCCAGCTTGGCCCCAGACCTGCCTCACTCCCACAAACTTGTCTGATGATCTGCACTCTTGGCTGATCCCGGCTGCCATCTCCTGGTTTGCATTGCTTGGGTATCAGAAAACATGGCTGGCTGTGTTACCACACTCGGCTCCTGACTCCCTGTCCCTTAAAGAGCAGCCAGCGCTCCCTGCTCCCTCACACAGATAACCAAAATGTCTGCCCTCTGGCAGGCAACCAGAAAAGTTTGAGTCACACTTTCCAGTTCATTTTGAACACTACATATGCCAACTGGAGATGATTACCAGCTCATACTAAATCTTCTCTTTGTACAGCAGGTCTGTTCAACACGGCTTCATAGGAAAAGCATACTGGCTTTCAATCTGCAGTTCATCTTGTTTCCAATAGTAAAATTATGATCATGCTTTTACAATGATAAGTTTCTCTGTTATTAAATATGCTGCAAGATTTTGAGCAATTTTACACACTCTTAAGGCATTCAGCAAGTACTAAAAATTTGAACAGAAATTGTACTGTAGTCCTTTCTACAGGAAGATGTTTTCACCATCTTAAGTCACTGAGGATTTTAATTCTTCCATGCCTGGCACTGCAATGACATTCCTTTATAAAATTATTATTTAGCTAAATCATACTCTTACATCAGTGTGCATAACTCATATGGTGGTACCTAAATTTTCACAATATAAATGGATCTTTCACTTACAATTCAAAACCCTCCTGCGTTCAGGGATGTTATCTCCTTTATCTAAGTAACCTGTTGCTCTTTCAGCTGTACATAGGAGCATACACTCATGCTCCTACCAGAACTGGAGGCTTTTGTCATTCAGAGTGACATCCTTACCTCACCATGGGTGTCCTGAAACTGCACCTCTATGTATTCTGGTGGCAAGGCAGGAATATTAAGAGCAGACTGAGAGACAGGAGGGACAGAATGAACAAGTGAAGGTTCGGTGTCTCCAGCTGAAGCCACAAGATGGATGTCAATCAGTTTCTGTGTCAGAACATCAGAACTCCTCACTCTTCCATCTTCTAGCTTCAAGTTCTGTACTTCTGAGCTTAAGTTTAGTTCATATCCAACACGTGGGGCTGCAGAGAGAGAGCTAGAAACAGCATCGCTGCTCATGCCCTCTTTTTCTTTCTGCAATAGAAATGCTTCCTTGAGGGCAAGCCAAAGTCCATCAATCCAAGGATCAACCACTAGTTCCAGACTGGGGAGGGAGGAATTAGAAGAGAAAGGAATGGTTGACTTATTGTGACTTACTGGACTGTTAATTTACAAATAATGAAAAGACCATAAAAGCTAAAAACACTATTCATTTTCCATTTTTAATATATATATCTGCCGCTATTACCAAGACAGCTTTTTTTTTTTACAAAAATATTTTCATTTAGTTATTATCACTATGTAAATTTACAGAGTATAAAGTGTATAACAGCCTCGTTCTTCCAGTTTCTCATTTTTATTTTCTTACGCTGAATTTTATGACAGGAAGTTGAAGGGATGGTAGCAAAATATGAAACTTTTCACTGTGCAACAGTAACATAAATAGCTTACACTAATGTTCCATTTTTATTATTTTAGAACACAGCATATAAGCTTTATGGTTATGGCTATGTTTGTGTTCAATTGTCTCATAACATCACGCACAGAACAGATATAATCTGCAGTTCAAAATAAATAAGCCAAGACTGCAGCCTACTGGTGAGAAAGAGCAACAGAACAGGAAGGGAGTTTGTTTTCTTACATAATTCCTCTACAGTGGTTATAAAAAATAAAAATTTAAAAAATGCATGGTTTAGGGAAAAGAGAAGAAAATTTAAAAAAACATTGTAGGGTTTGCCTAAAGCAGCTATACTGCAAGATGTGAGTTTAGAGAAAAGTCTGATGTGTATGTAGAAAGAGATCCTATTACCCAGTACCGCATGTACTGGGAACTAGATTTATTTTTATTTGCTTCAGTAAACAAGCTACATTTTTAAACCCCTCCACTTATTCCAAATTACTTAATTTCTAAAACTTCTAAATACTCTCAATTTTCCCAGGCATTACAGATGTTTACTCACATTTTGAAAATGGAGTTTTATTTAATGGCAATTGAGATTGAAAAGGCATACTGTGTTCAGACAGGATTCATTCCTGTGAGGTGAGGTGCTGAGTATTCAGGTTCAACTGATTTCAAAGAGTTCAGAATGTTCAGCCAAATTCACATGTAGTTATTGCATCTTGAAGAAATAAAATCCCAACTCATTCAGCTCTTACCCTACACAATCATCTGCTAATCCTGTGTCATAGAAGTGCTGGGCACCAAGTTCTTGAAGTCTTCGGTCTACTGTCTTTCCACCGTTACAAAAGAATGTGTACTCTGAATCACCCAGACCTAGCAAATTCAAGGAAAAAGGAATCATGTCAGTCAGTCACCCAGGCTATATAGACAAAAATCTGCAAAGATAACACAGGATTTTCTTGCAGGCAAACAGAAGAAACTGATATAGCAAAGTACATATTACCAGGGCACTTTTATGACCTTAAAAAAAAAAAAAAAAGTGTTTTTATCAAAGTAGAGCTGAAAAAGTGGTTCTTCCTTCACAAATGTAAGACACAATTTCTCTGAAAACAATTTGCCTTCAATATTTCACATTTCAGAAGAATGCTGTTTTAGTTTGAGACTTAAAAAATACAAAACTACTCTTAAAGGAAAAATGCAAGGAACTGAAATAATTAGAGAGTGAAACTGATATGTGAATTACCAAAAGAAATTATCTCACCTTCAGGTTAAAATTGTTAATATATGTCAACAAAATAAGGGAGAGAGTATTAGAAGTAATTAAAAAATATTTGAACCTTGAAAAAAAAATAAAAATCAAGCACAGGAGTGATTTTAAACAATCTGAAATGAGAAATGTAGGAAAAGGTGCAAGAGGGAATCTGGTCCAAGATCCTCCTCCCTGGGAATCGGAGATTTCTTTGTAGATCTCATTGTCACTGCACTGGGTTTTCTGGCCTTTAAGAGTTGTGAAGATGTTCTGTTAGAAGAAGATGCACTTTGTTATCAGTTACACAGTCAGTGGACTCAGGAGGTATGTTCATGGAGGACCTGAGATTTTAAGAGATCAACTAAATCAGTGATCTGCCCTAAAAGAGATCAACCACACATACCTTATCCTTAACAGGTGCTTATCTAACAATCCCAAAGACCACTGGTTAGGTAATGTTCACAAACTCTGTAAGTAATCCATACAACTGTTTCACTATCCTACTTATCACAATTTTTCACAGCCTGACCCTTTCTTGCATGCAATTTCAAACCACTAGATCCTTATCACCCTCACCTAACAATGGACTATTCCTGTCTCCTTTATAACAGTTTTATTTTTCTTTAAAAAAAAAATAAAAATAATTCTGCTCCCTCTCAAGTACAGTACTTAGAGCGAACACTTCACTGGACAAGCTGAAATGGATACCATTTTAAAACTGATAACTTTTTAGACTAGAATCACAAAACATGTTATAACTTAGATACTATAATAATATCTGTTACAACAAAAATCAGTATTTATACAATGCTTATCTTCATATATGCATATAAGCATTCAGTCAGCTATGAAAGACCTAACCATTTCACAAACTGTAATGTATAACTAGGCAATAGCATAACATCTCAAAATGTTACATAATTAGGATGCATATATTTCAGACTTTGACATTATATAGCCACTAGAAATTTTGTTCTAGTCCTTCTTCACTAGAAATCTAAGTTTCCTCACTCCTATCTATCAACTTAAAGTTGTCAGGCAAAAATAATCTAGGTTCAACTAGAAGTTTCTGGAGTTTGTTAAAACACAATCTGAAAACTCAGCAAACTGACTTTACCATCAGCTCAAGATACGTTAGATGCATTTTGCCAAATCAATCTTTAACCTGGTTACACTCCTTCTACTGACAAGTATGACATTCACAATTTAAAAAAAAAAATAAAAATGCAAATTTCAAAGTATAGGATGACCTTAAAACCTTATTTTTAAGAACATTTTATACTGCCTTTCCCTCTGTATAGAAAAATGCCCAATTACTTGCAAAGTCAAGTAAATTCATCTAGTCCATAGAGACTTGACATGAAATTAAAACTTCAACAATTATAGATAGCTTATATAATATTTTGTTTATGCAAAGAAAATTAAACTATAAAAAAATTAAATTGGTAGCTTACATTCAGATCGTTTCTGTGACACTTTTCCTTTATTGCTTATAGAGGACATTACACAAAAAAGCTGTTCATGTTATAAAAATAAATGTTTTACAAGCACTTAAAAAAACCCAACCAACCAACTTATTCACAAGTAAAAATTATAAAAATTATTCACTGGCAGACAAGTGCTGCAATAACATAGAAAATACTAAATTACCTAGCAATCCATACTGGAGATGTGCAAAATGATGAGGTGGCAAGGTTGTGTCTTGAATTTTCTTTACAAACTTGCGGGCAGTGTCTGGTGGGTCTCCAGTACCGGTAGTGGAAATAACAATAACTACAGGATCCTTTTCTGTTTCCAGGTTATACTACAAGTAATAGAACAAGTAAGTTAGAAGGTGCCATTCGATACCTATTTGTGGCTTTAGATATTCTTTTTCACTCTTCCTTTTCCCAAAGGTACACAGAAAAATGTTTGATCTCATCTTACCTGTATTAAACCACAGAAACTCTTTCAAGTAATTACAAGTCATTTTGGGGATGCAACTTATGATCTTGGTTGGAATTTTCAAGACCAGACTGGATAAAGCTCTGAAGAACCTGCTCAGATCTCAGCTAACCCTGCTGTGAGATGACCTCATGAAGTCTCTTCCAACCTGAATTATCCTATGATCCCATACACAAATGCAGAAGGGCAGCACTTTGAGAAGGCTGGTACACATGCGAAGAATACTTCGCAACTGTACTCAGACAGCTTAAATACACAACTTCTGCAGTATTTGTTTTGTCAAATGGAAAAAGCATTTTTGTATATACGATCGCAATCACACAGTTGGCCATAATCCTGATAACTTCAAACAGATTACTGGGGTGTGGCCATACAAACTGTGGGGATCATTTCTAAATTCCATCAGGGATCATTTAGTTCTGATAACTTCCATGTTACATCTGTCTTTGCCACAAAAAACAAAAAAAACCAACCCTGTGCTTTGGGGGGGACCTAAAGTAGCTCTGAACAGAGATAATCAGTCACTGTGCTCTACAGTTTGATTCATTCTGGCCTCTTCACCCTGCCCCCAATTCATTTCTCGCCCCTTTGCTAATACCAATCTTTCACATTTCCCATAGTTTTATAGGGGCTACTCCCATTATACCAGGTCAAAAAGAACTGCCTATATTGGGGAATGTGCATCAGTTCCATAAATTCAGGTCTCATGCAGACATTTATTACTTCTGAAGTAAGAAGTGCTCTGTTTCTTTGATGATTCCAGCTTTCCACTGATAGTGGGCTATAGCACTGTGCTAGTCCGCTGTCTGTCAGGTCACACGCACGACGTGCTCTTTCACAGCACCCCTGTGGGTTTTGAATCACACGGACAGCTAGCGACGTATGTGAAACAGCTCCACAGAATCAGACACACCTTGTTTGGAGTGACCTCTGGAGGCTACCTAGTCCCACCCCATGCTCCAGGTGGGACTAACTGCCTATGCTGCATTAGGTCAGATATGACCCTGGCTGAATTTTGAAAACTTCTAAGGGTAGAGATTCCACTTTTCTGGGCAGCCTCTTCCATCCAGAACATCTCCACTAGTGTCACATCTGAGTTTATCAGGCTGCAGACTCAGTGGATTTTGCCTCCAGTTGTATGGTCTTCTGCTACCAAGAAGAGTTTGGCTCAAGTAGGCTGCTATGAGGTCACTTCTTAGTCTCCTTTTTGCCATAATAAGCAACCCAAGCTGCTGTTACTGCTCCCTGCAGGTTTCAGTTTAAACTCTTCCAGCATTCCAAGTTTAATAAAATAGTAGGGTTATGAGAAAATATAAATAAAGATTGCAAGAGATGCCATGTTTCATTTCCAGCAGTTTCAGGACTGCAATTCAAAACTTCAGAGATTGAGGAGTTGCATTCTAAACACTTCACTCCATAAATCACTCAAATCTTATCCCCTCCTCAAGCCATGTAAAAAGTTACCCCTTACACCTACAATCCAAAAAGGTTAGGAACATAAAGAAACAGAATATCAAGGGGTTTTGCTGTTGTCATTTTTTCCAAAACCTTCCTGAAGAATTTAAGAGCAGCTGCATGGAACAACTTAAATTACCATGTAGAACAGTGTCCTGCCTCTGACAGTGGCCAATAGCAGGTGCCTAGAGAAGTATAAGAGAAGAGAGTAAGCACGCACAGATATTCCTCAAGTACTTTGCCAGATGTCAGTGAGTTGTGGTCCAGGGATGTTACAGAGGCTTTGTCTTTTACAAGTTCAAGCAAACTGCAAATACTCACAAATTCCAGAGACTTTCAAAATTGAACTATAAGTTGTGCAAAAAAAGGCCTTACGCATCCTGTTGCAGCAACCCAGATTTTCAAAACTTCCACAGCTGATTTGATAAGTACAAATACAAAAGCTTCTGCAGTACATTGTCACAGGTGACTACTGCATTTATAAACAAAAGCAAAGTCTTCAAGTAAAAAATGCAACAGTCTTTTCCATTACAAAAAAAAAAAAAGAAAAAATATACAAACTCAGAAAGTAAAAAGTGGTGTATTAGAACAGAGGTATGATTAGTTCACTAAATTCTTGCTTGCTCCACTGCACATTCTCCTGTGCAAACTTAAAGACCTTTTGGAAGCCAAACACTTGGCAACAGAGGTCCTGCATTAATTTGTGTCAATTACTGGGAGGTCTGATATATCACTAGACCAACAAGAACCTTACAAAATTACCTATTTTTTTATTCTACCTTCCACTTCTTCCTATACCTTTAATGTTACATCTTAGTACCATTCTTTCTCTTTCCTTCAAACGTACACCTCTGCTGAGGACAGCAATGCCACACAACAGCAGGGAGCAGTGTGCTCAAGCTGTGAATGACAGCTGAAGGAAGACAATGGGATCAGACACCCAGATATGTCTTATCCAGAATAACACGTATCATGGCAAACGTGGTTATTCAGATAACTCATCCAAGGCTGACTACATGCACTGTGATCCAAGATGATCTTCATTTAGCCTCCTACTTTACTGCTCCTACCTCACTTCCACTTCATTTTAGTCTTTCATCAAGCATAAAAAGCAATCACAGTTACCAACCAAAGATTTATGACCTTTTCTCACTTACGAGAGTGTAGGTGAGAGACACTACTTGGAAATAGCCAGTGTTTCCAAGACGTGAACAGTATCTGACCATTTATTTTTCTATGGCAACAGGATCACATTATGACTATTGAACTCTGTAGCCACCTATTTCATCCACAGACCTTCACAGAATTCCCATTAACTGATGACTAAAGTAGCCATGGTAGGGGAACCTCAATCCATCCCACTCCTACCA